AATTGGCAGTTAAAATAACGCTGTGCATCTCCTGTAAACTCACCTGGTGCAAGTAACTACATGTGTTGGCAATATAGAAATCACACCTGAAAGCGATAAAATGTAGAGGCTGTTCATATGGCAAAAAAATGGCCTGGTCAGGAAGGGGGGTAAATCTTCCAGAGGTCAAGTGGTAACAGCAGTATTAAACCCTTAACCAAAAATGAAATACAAGGGGCATTCAAGTCAAACAGGGACTTTTGATTGTACAGGTATAAAAAGGGCTGCTAGCGTGGCGGTACTACACACAGTATAAATGGCAAGTGTGTCCTATTACTGATTGGTGGCGCACATGTCGTTGGCCAGTCCAGAGACCGTTAATCAAGATGGCAGACAGTGTTAGCGCATACATGGAACAGTGTATGGTGATGAAGCTTCTTGTGAACGAAGGCATAAAACCAGCTGATATCTACAGATGGCTTCAAGCACAGTATGGCGATGAGACGCTCAGCCACAGTAGGACATATGAATGATGTAAACGTCTCAAAGATGGCCATATGTCCCTCAGTGACGATCTCTGCCGTGGTGGTTCCCAGCCCACAGCAGTCATTCCTGTGAACATTCAGCTCGTGGAACCCTGATCTAATTGACGCATAACCTGAAATTTCACAAGAGACAAATCTTTCTGTGGGAACAGTAAACACAATGATGATGAAGTCTGTCCTAGAATGGTTCAGGTGTACTGACAAATCTTTCTATGCTGAAGTTTTCCAGGCATTACATAAAGTGTATAAATGTAGCAGGGGAGGATATTGAAAAATAAATGCAGTTTCCACTCCTTGAAATTTGTTCTATTATTATATAAACTCAAAATTCCCAGTTTGACTTGAACGCCCCTTGTATATTTCAGCTTACCAATAATTAGTTGTGGTGGCTATATTTGTTTAAATTTTGTGGCTTTTTTCCCATGTCTTTTCACCTGGTGATCAGGCCAGTAACATACCTCCTGTATTAAAGTGCCTCCACTCTGGATGAAGGAGCACAGGGGGTATATTTGGACATTTGGAGGGGAGGGGAATCTAAGATGTACTAATAGATTTAAATACACTAACAAATTGAAGCCAAACTCCAGCTTTAATATTATATTTTTTTCCTTTAAGGTTTTACCTAAGTAAATAAAAACTTATCATTGTAAGCACCCCTGTCAGTAGTAAATGGTTTGTCTTATGCCTGTAAACTGATACATCTGGAAAAGAGCCTTTTGTTTTGAAAAACAACAGACTTACTGGTTGGATGACCAGATGAAAATAAAGGAAATAAAGCCTAAAAAAGAAAACTAATGCATCCATCACATCTAAGAATTGGTAAGCTGCAATAGAATAAATGCTTGCTTTTGATCTAATACTGCTTCAAAAATTGTGTCGGGTTTTTTCTTTTTTTTGTGATCTTCTTGGGGACTTTCCTCACTTCCTGGCCCAGTGATATATGCCACCAAAGATTTCCACTCTAACAGAATGGGACGTAGTAGATGCTTGTTGTCCAATCCCTGCTATTTTAGTAGGATCAGATCATGTGGAAAATATAACTGATTATTTCACTGGTCCAGGGGCGGACTGACAACTCATGGGGCCTCCAGGCAATAGGGGATCATGGGCCCCTGTGTCTTTGCCCAAACTCAAAAAAGCCTATGAAAAAGGTACCAGGGGCATCTCATGGGACCCCCTACTGACCCCGGGCCCTCGGGCAGTGCCTGAGTTTCCAAATGGTCAGTCCGCCCCTGCACTGGTCTGCCTAACAATAAATTCACTTCGCAAATGGCTACTGAACAACCCAGAAAGACTCAGTACTTTGGAAAGGTTTTGTTGCAGATAGAGGAAACTAGAAAATCCATTATAATGCCTTGTGGCAGGGAAAGAGCAGCCACAGACTAGTGAGGTCATTCCTCTGATCTCTCTATCCGCATATTCCTTGTCAACATATTTGCATTCAACACACCTGTCTCTACAGTCTAGCCGTATAGGGAATTTCAAGAGGTTGATGGTAAAAGATAAATTCAGGTACTCACAGTAGTTGCAATAAAAATAAATACATGATTTACTATTGAATACACAGTTGCATTAGTTTGTGTCTTTATAGTTGCCTGGAGTTCAGCTTTATGTACAGCCTTCTGTATCCCCCTGAAGCTTTTTCCATGCCCATTGGGGAATTATGGTAAGGTTGCTTGGCAAAGAACCATGTGACATGAAACTACAGTTCCCACTGAAAATTCTGAAGGAAACCTTTCCCCACTTTTGCATAAAACCAGGGATTTTTAGTTCACATACAATGCAATACATGTCCAAGCTGGACAACTGCATCAAAGTGAGTCATCTCTGGTCAGTCCCTATTGTACTCTGTGGGCAGCACAGTGACTTAGTGGTTAGCACTTCTGCCTTGCACCAGTTGAATACCAACCATGACACTGCCTTCATGGAGTTTGTATTTAAACTCTTCTCCCTGTGCTGGCATGGGCTTCCACCAATTTACTCCCAAACCTCAACATGCTGACTGCTGTATAAATTAGTTCTAGTATGTGTATGTACAGTATGCATGTAAGATAGGGCCCTGACAATGTACGCTCCTTGATGGCAGGGACTGATATGATTGTACAATATGGTTTATGTACCAAAGCTAGAGAGTGCAAAATCTGGTGCAGTTGTGCAGAGAAACCAATCAGCTTGTCAGCAAAGTCAAAGCTTAATTGAACAAGCTGAAGTTAACAACTGACTAGCTACCATGCACAACTGCACCAGTTTTTGCACTCTTCAATTTTAGTAAATCTCCCCCTATATGTAAAGCACTGGGTAAATTGTCAGTGCTATATAATCACCTATAATAAAGTGCAAAATACTTGCTTATAGCATCTTTTAGTAGACATACAATGCTAGTATGGGGCTAGAGAGGGGAAGGCCTGGGAAAAAAAAAACAGAAACTTTGGGAAAAAACATTTTTCCCATTTTTTTCAAAGCCTTTTTTTTCTGGAAAAATTGGAAAAAAAGAAGCGTGGAATATGTTCTTTTACAGTGATAAATATTATATCTATGACATGGTATTCAAACTATATAACATGAAGACCCTAATAAAAGATTTCTGAGACTTTATGTAAAGTATTACAGTACTGCAACCTCTCTCAGCTGATGACAAGCAATTCCTGGAATACAATTCAAGTAACACTGTACTTTTCAAGGCAGTTTCTCTGTACAAAAAGGAGGTGGTGGCAGTGTGAAGGGTTAATTACGTAATTAACCTGACCCAGTAACAATCGCCCTCAGGCTCTCAGGCTGCCGGTACATTGATTTGTGGTCCATTAGCTGGAAAATCGTTGTGCAGGGTGCAGCTGGGCATGGCATTGTTACGCACGTGACATTGCGGTTTTAGATTGGCTAGTCCTTCGGTCACGAGTTTGGTGAGAAGGTCAGGGGTCTGACGTGCGATCGTCACAATGTTTACCTATATTCTGTTCCGTAAATAGTTTTTTATTTTCATCCTCTCAGTAAAATGGTGAGATTAACATCTAGACTTTGGAAACATTTCCACAGGGCAATTTCTCCTGAGAGCAAAGCTGCAATTTGCAAATATTGTGAGAAGAAATATTCTTTTCAAGATGCTACAAGAATGACAAAACACATCCTTGCATGCTAGAGGTGCCCTAAAGACATTAAAAAAAAAATTTTTGCAATTACATGATGAGGACCAAAATGAAAGTATAAGTAGCTTTTGCCTCCAGAGTTCTCATTCCAGAAACACTCTTTTTGCTGTTTCTTGATCAACACAAGGTGTTTCTTCACCAGCAGCATCTTCAAGTAGGGAAGTGTTACAAACCATGGCTTTACAAAAAAAAACCCAAAAACACCCTCCCTTTACTTATACAGAAACTGACACCTGAAAATTAGAAGAACATTGACGAAGCTCCTGTAAGGGCTCATGTACACTGCAGCTGATAAACTCACGTTTAGGAGCTGTTCAGCGTTTTTTTCAGCAGCCCCTGAACTTACCCTAATGTTTTCCTGTGTGCCCATGTACACATCTTCATTTAGTCGTTTACAGGCATTTGAGTTTACAGTCGGTTTTTTGAACGCAGAAAACTTGCTTTCAGCAGTCGATTTTATCAGTGTTTCAAACGCAAACCGATTGTAAACATGGCAAGTTGCGTTTACAAGGGTTTGCGTCTAAAAATGTTTTTAACTCTTCGAGTTCCCGTTGCTGTCCAGAGCCTGTTTTCATTATGAAAAATGCATGCAAAGCATTTTCAAAGTACTCGGATGAACAAAACACTGAACACAGGATGTTCCTACCAAGCTTGTCACACATTGTAATGACCAATTCACACCTCAGACCTCTCCCACCCTTGGAAACAAAAGATATGTTAATGCACATTCACACCTCAAATTCCTCATGAAGACCCCCTGCCAGGTGACCTTAATGACTCGCTCCACCAGACACCTTTCCCACCCTTGGAAACAAAAGAAATGTTAATGAGCAACTCACACCTAAGCGAATTTCAACACATACTTCTGTCTCTGCTTCTACTCTCTGTATTTCTCTGAAACAGTCTGAAATAGTTAATAATTTACCACTTTTCAGTGCATTCTGGGCATTTGGGAGGTTCTCCTGTGCTTATCTTTAAAAAATATTTCTAAATGCAAACACACATAAACGCATTATGCAAATGCAGCTAAACAGATGTTTTTTAACCTATGTTTTCCAGCAGTCAGTTTCCATCGTTCAGAAGTGTCCCGTGTATATGGAGCCTAAGAGCAATATACAGGTGAAACTCGAAAAATTGGAATATCGTGCAAAAGTTAATTTATTTCAGTAATGCAACTTAAAAGGTGAAACTAATATATGAGATAGACTCATTACATGCAGAGATTGTGGATTTGGGATTTTCATGAGCTATAAGCCATAATCATCACAATTATGACAAATCACGGCTTGAACTATCTTGCTTTGCATGTAATGAGTCTATCTCATATATTTGTATAACCTTTTATGCAGGGGCGGACTGACAACTCATGGGGCCCCCGGGCAATAGGGGATCATGGGGCCCCTGTGTCCTTGCCCAAACTCAAAAAATCCTATGAAAAAGGTACCAGGGGCATCTCATCATGGGCCCCCCTACTGACCCCGGGCCCTCGGGCAGTGCCCGAGTTTACAAATGGTCAGTCCACCCCTGCTTTTAAGTTGCATTACTGAAATAAATGAACTTTTGCACGATATTCTAATTTTTCGAGTTTCACCTGTATGCTTCTGGATCAGCATTGTCAATAACTGAAAATACATATTGGCAGGAAGCTTTTAAATTATTATGAGGGAAACGGGGGTGGTTACCTGTTCTCATGTATAGCTGAAATGTTCTTAACGCATACAGTCCTTGTTATACCATTTGTATTTAAAAAAAAAAAAAAAAAAGTATAGTTTTTTTAAGCTGTACTTTAATTTAAAGCATAATACTTTTATATACACTTCATTTCACCTTCCCAGTGTAACAACATGATTTTCAATTTGTAAAACTATTCCATGATGGATTTTTAAAAACATATTCTGAAAATGTCCATTTTTTTCCAGAAAAAAAAACACATTTTTTTCTCATGGTTTCAACATTTCCAGAAATGTAACATCTCTATATGGGGCAGACAGATAAAGTTGAAGTAGGGCTACAGACTCAGGTCTGAAAGTTGTTTGATTTTACAAGAGAGCAGTATATAATTTGTACTATGTCCAAGCATGCAGAAGGATGTGGGCTAGTCTATAATAGGTACAATATCCATTTACAGCTTTAGAACATTATGCAAGGCTTATGTGGGTTGGCATAAACAACTTTGTTTTCTGCAAAGACTCAGGACTTTCGTAAAACCTTATCTACATCAAAGCCAAATTCGATAACAGTTCCCCGAACTCTACCCATATATAACATGTTGTGCTGCCTATTTTTTTTTTTTTTAGGTTGTGTATCCCAGTCTGAAGGACACACACGTAAAATACTGACTTCAGGAGCAAATGAATAGAACAGGCTTTCTCAACCTTTTCAACATAGAGGAACCCTTGAAATGGGATTTTGAAATTTGGGAACCCCTGCTAAAAATGAATGTATCTACAGCTCATGATACATTAGTGTGATGGTCAGTGGGTAATATGCTCCTTACATTTGTGGTCATTGGGGAGAATTATCCCCTGACAGATAGCTAAAAAGATCCATGGTGTCAGTGGAAATTTATCTGAGGCAGAAATTGCTCAAGGATCCCCTAGAAACCTTTGGAGGAACCTTGGTTGAGAAACCCTGGAATGGACTGTAGAATGTGCCGCCCAACCGACACTTATAGCTATTTTCCCTTCTATCTTTGTGCTTTCCTTTTCTCTCCTTACTTTTGACTTTCTTCTTCTTTCCCTCTCATAGTAAAAAAAGGATGTATTCAAGCTATACTAAGCTACATCTTTCACTTAGCCTGGGTTCACATATGTGCGGAGCGGTATATCGCATGTGATTCGCACAGGAACCGCACTGCATTCCTGTGCACATCACATGGTATTTGTGTGCAGTGCAATTGAAGCCATGCATTTTGTATGTATTTCTGTCTGTTTATTCTCCATGTCTATTTTTTGGTGGGTAACTGTTCTGCTCTTATTTTTATTTTCATTTTTTTGGCAAACTTCCATATTAAAAACTGAATGCACCAACAATAGAAAAAAAAAGAATAATTTCATGTGTCATTTAAAAATGGTGTACATTTTTCAGCCTTGCCTTACATTTTTGTTACATTTCAGTCCTACTTAGGTGACACAGGTGTTGAAAATTGCTTCAATGCGAACAAACCTTAAAGGATAAGGTCACCTTTGGGAACTTGTTCCACGTTCCACCTGTTTTTAGGGTGAAATATGTAAAAGGGGCAGCCGCCCCTGCTGCCCATCCCGCCCCCGTTCTCCCGTAACAGCAGTACGGGGAGAAGTTCCCCGTACTAGCTGTCAGTCTTTGAAAACAGTGCGAGCTTGTGGGGCTCCACCCACACAGCTGTGCCCAGGGGCGGCCTGACAACTCATGGGCCCCCGGGCAATAGGGATCATGGGGCCCCTGTGTCCTTGCACAAACTCAAAAAAGCCTATGATAAAGGTACCAGGGGCATCTCATGGGGCCCCCTACTGACCCCGGGCCCTCGGGCAGTGCCCGAGTTTCCAAATGGTCAGTCCGCCCCTGGAGCCTGCGCCATTCATTCTGTGAATGAACAACAAGTCCCCGACAGACTTTGCAGCTGTCAGCTTATAGTTCTCAATGATCTACCACGGCACTGTTGAGCACTGTGGTAGTTCATTGAATCTTCCTGTCAGACTACGAGATGTATGGGCACACAGGTACACTGATAGTTTGCAGGAGTCCTGCAGGACACCACTGATTTGCTGGATGCTGGTGCAATGCTTTCCAGGCTCCAAAAAAAAAATTCATAAATGCACATTTTTTTACCTGCAAAATTTTTTTTTTTTCTTTTTTTATTGAACTTATCCTTTAATTATCTACAGTTGTGACCAAAATTATTCAACCCCCAATGCTGTAAAGGGGTTTAGGGACTATAGTGTACATTTGGGAATTGTATTCAGAATCAAATCCTACAAGGACGTTGTAACTACCCAAATGCAACTAAAATGACATCAATTGTTTATGTAATACAGTAGTAAATGTTCTTATGTGGTTTCTTCATTGCCACAATTATTCAACCCCTTAAAGACTACCACTCTGAAGAAACAGAGGTTCATACAGGTGCTTTCCATCAGGTATTGAAAACACCTGTGGATGTCACCGAGCAGCAATCAAGCATAATAAGCACCAATTAGGCAGCTTTTAAAAATGACTGTGATACTCAGCTCCTTCTAGACATTTACTGGTGTGGTTACAAACATGGTGAAGGCAAGAGAATGGTCCAGGAAGACAAGAGAAGAGGGATTTCTCTTCACATTAGGGCAATGCTATAAGAAGATTGCAAAGATGTTAAACATACCAAGAGAACACCTTAGGAAGCATCATTCGCAAATTGCAAAGGGCACTGTTTACCTGGTCGTGGCAGAAAGAAGATGCTGACTTCGACTGCTGTGCGCTACCTGAAGCGTAGAGTGGAGAGAGAAGTCCCCGTGTGACTGCTGAGGAACTGAAAAAAGATTTGTCAGATGTGGGTACAGAAGTTTCAGCCCAGAATAAGACGCACACTGCGTAATGAAGGCCTCCGTGCCAGAACTCCCAGGCGTACCCCCTTGCTGTCTCCAAAGAATAAGAAGAGTCGACTGCAGTATGCCAAAAGCCATGTGGACAAACCACAAAAGTTGTGGGATAGTGTTCTGTGGACTGATTGAAACAAAATTAGAACTGTTTGGGCCCATGGATCAACGCTATGTTTGGAGGAGGAAGAACAAGGCCTATGATGAAAAAGAACACCTTGCCTACTGTGAAGCATGGTGGAGGGTCAATCATGCTTTGGGGCTGTTTTTGCTTCTGCAGGTACAGGGAAGCTTCAGCGTGTGCAAGGTACCATGAATTCTCTTCAGTACCAGGAGATATTGGATGGAAACGTGTGATGCAGTCCGTCACACACCTGAGGCTTGGGAGACGTTGGACCTTTCAACAGGACAATGATTCCCAAGCATACCTCCAATCCACTAGAGCATGGTTGCAGAGGAAAGGCTGGAACATTTTGGAGTGGCCATCGCAGTCACCAGACTTAAATCCGATTGAGAACCTCTGGTGGGACTTAAAGAAAGCAGTTGCAGTGCGCAAGCCTAAGAATGTGACTGAACTGGAGGCCTTTGCCCATGAAGAATGGGCGAAGATACCCGTAGATCGCACCAAGCTATGCTTCACGTTTAAAAGCTGTTATAACTGTAAAAGGATGCTGTACTAAGTACTAAGATTGAATGTCACTTGGGGGTTGAATAAAACTGATAATGCTGTGAGCACAGAAAAGACATTTTTTGTGGTTATTTCATTATAACTGTTATGTTATATTTGTCTGACCTACAAGTGCCTCTTTAATGTAAATGTAAGCAAGATGACTGAATGATCAAAAGCAATGTCAAACTGGCCAAAACACTCAATTTCAGTGGGGGTTGAATAAGTCACAACTGTACATCTATAATACAGTCAGCACAGACAGACCCTAAACTGGCTTATTAAAGCAGTATTAAACTCTTACACGTTTTTTGAGTTTAGCACACTAAACACAATAAAATAAACATTCCCTATTAAACTATATTTGTTAACATTCTTACCCAGCACCTGCAGTTTACAGCATTAAATGTTGTTGGCTGCTGGTCTCTCAAGGCTGATTACTTTCTTAAAAAAAAATAAAGAGTTAGCAGTGGACAGTGCAGTCTCCAGTCAGTTAGCTTGGAGGAGGGAGGAGCAGGGGAGTATCTTACCATCTTAGGCTACGGGTTGTGTGCTTCTATTGATGCACACAATGTAGGGAGACACAGCTCTACTCCCTGCACCATAGGGTGCAAGAGAAAGAAGCCACCCTAAAACAGGAAACCTGGGGTAGTGATTATGGCACCAACCTAAACTGGAACATAGGCAAGGATTAAAATATAAAGAAGCTACATACTTAGTAAGAGTTTAAATCAGCTGCTGAAAGTGCTTAATAAAAACCTTTGGGTTTTAAAATCACTTTAACTGCAGGAGCAGTTGTGTTCCTCTGCGGCACAAACAGATTTGTTGGGGTTCTGTTTTATGAACTGCAGATAATAAACTCAGATGTCTACAAGTATAAAAATCCTCTCATGGACAGGCCTGGTGACATTTAAACTGTTAGCACAACCCAAGGTATTTCAGCCATCAATCAAAGCAAAGCATGAATCAATTTTGTTGCCAAGGCTGATATTGCTGTCCAAGTGTTGGTAGAAACTGCAAATACAGCCCATAATCCACATCACTGGATTTTATCCCAAAGTGGGGCTTTAAATATATTGTTGAAGAAGTGTTCCACTAGTTAAATACATTAGAAAAATGCATGAATCTTGAGTGAAAGATATGTGATTCTTTTGTGAAAACACTTATAAATTGATCCAGTGGTGTAGCCTTGTACCCTTGGTGCCCAACCTACATTCTGTGTTTTCATGACCTAAATGAACCAGTCATAATTCTCTGCAGCACATGTCACAGGCTGAATCTACATCTCCTACAGGCAGTATCACTGGTGAGCATGGACGTATTGCCATCTACAGACTTATAATTTTATCATGTTTTGTATGTTTCATATATTGATTGCATGTATTTATCTGTTTTTTTTTTTTATAGTTTCACCTACCCTGTTTTGTTAATAAAGCTTCAAGATTACATTCAGTCTGGTTTATTGCAGAATAGAAGGGTTTAGCTAGTTACACACAGGGAAACATGTAGTGAGCACAGAACAGGCATGTTTGTAGTCTTTGACCATCTATTGTAGCATGCCCCTATGATGACAATTCTATGATCATTTAATGTTGCATGCCTTACATTCACTGGATATTATGTGTGGCCTCTTGGCAATATGAGGAGCCACATTTGAGTCTCTCTATATCAAGTAAGGTGACCCCCACAGTCTCCTACCCGCATAAAATGTGACCAAAAGGAGTATCACTTGTGACATAAAGTAGGTCTGATGTCACATAGACAGTTTTTACCACCCGCCATTAGCCATATATGCAGTATACAGTTCTCACCTAGAAGTGTCCACAGTGTTTACCCCACAGAAGACATATATACAGTTCTTTCCCCATAGCAGCCATATATAGAGTTGTCTAAAGTGATTACCAATTAAAGCCCATTCACACAGGCAGAAAAAAATGCTGCATTTAGATGCATATGCATCAAACGCAGCAGCATAGTAATCAATGAGTCCATACACAGAGTTGCGTCTCCATATAATAATGTGTTGTGCCTTTAGCCACGCATGGATACAGCTTCAGATTTTACATTAGGTGCATATTTTACAGAGGATCTTCTAGCTCTATCAGTAAGAACCTTTTTTTCATGCAGAAAATACAGGTATGCCTGTGTGAATAAGTCCTTAAAAGAAAATCAGTAACGGTAATAGCACTTATGTGAGTGTGGTGCTCACCCCCTTAAGATCTGCTGAGTTTTTGGGTCCCCCCTAAGCGCTGCATGGCCAGACAACACACATTTTTCTACATCTTCACACACACAGTCAATAAAACAGTCCTTGAGCTGTTTTTTTGTTGGTTTTATTAGGGGTTAACAACTTAGATGAGGTCTAGAGGTATATTTGATACCCAAGGAACTGCAAAACTTGAGGACAAACTTCTGGGCAAACTATACACTGTACAAAAATGTGGATCAGAAAAAGAGCAGTGTCTCTCTAAGGAGCACTGAAGTCCCCTTGATGTACCTCTTCAGACCCCAGATGAATCCTTCCTTCCTCCTGGCTGCACTGAGGTTATCCTTGGGCAAGGGATTCTAAGTCCTGCCAATTAAGTAGTCCTGGATGAGGACTAGCTGGGTCTTGCACCTGACTACCCTCTCCCTTTATCTGGCCCAGGTGGTGTAGAAGTACTCACACTGTCCTGTCAGCTTGGTGGGTGATAGCTGCTTTCAGGCCTTCTGCTGGGCTGGCTTCATCCTAGCCGACAGGCTGTACTCCCCAAGAGACTTGGTACAGTAGAGATCCTTCTGTCCAGCAACCAGCCTGTAGGTAGTCTTCCCTTCCTGGGTCCCCCCTCCATGCTCCCTCTCTCCAGCACCTTCCTTCCGTTCATCTTCCACCCAACTCCCTGCTGCACAGACTCTGTCACATTTAAGGGTTGCCCTTGGCCACAATGCCCGGCTCCTGGCTGGGGATTGGCTACGTTCCCCTACACAAGCAAATCTGGGCCTCCTCCAGAAAGTGCCAGAAGTTTCTGGAAGGGTGGGGGGGCTCCAAAAGCGCTGACCTGTAGAGCCTCTCAACCTGTCCTGAGGTGAACCCATTACTTCACTCCCAGGCTGACTCATCCCAGGCTTCTAACAAGCCTATAACTAAAAAAACATCTTATCTACCTAGAGGGCGCTACATCCACTCCCCACTACAAAACATCCATCTCCTCACTGGCTGGGAACAAAAAATGGCCCCTAAGCCCAGGAGCAGAGCATCCCATATAGAAAACATGGAGGGGAAAAGGAAATGAACTTGGAAAGGGATATGTACAAATAAATCAGTAGAAAAATAGAATATGTACACTTTACATATACAGTAGCAATATTAGCATATTTACACCATAACTACAGCTCACTGTATCTAGCCGTATGAAAATAGAAAACACACTATGACATATGTACAAAGTGCATTTAAGTAGACATGAAGCACCTCT